TAAAAATTTGGGAATATAAATTTATAACCATTAATTATATTATATATTGAAAATAATAAACAAATAAAATAACCATATAATTTTACCCTTTGAATCGAGGTTATAACGAGTACCATTCCTAACATATGAGTTCTTTTCATTACTCTCATACTTAGAATATAATTGTTTCATATTCGGACGAACATAATGAGGGAGAATTAACGTTCGATAATATGTGTTTTGTATTAATCTTCTTGGTTAATATGGGCTATTTCTAAAATAAAGTACAGAGAATTAAGTTGTTCGCAGATTTACTGCATAAAAATCATACGAGAAAACATACCCTAAAGATTTGATATAATGTTCCGTAGAATTTACAGCATATTATCTGTAATATTTTCAATATATTTGGCTACTTATTTTTAATGCAATGTTACTGTAAATGCGAAGTACTTGTAGTTTGTAGCAATATTCAAAAATTTTCTTAATGAAAGATGGAAGGAAAATAGGGTTTTTTTTACAGACAAATTGATGAAACAAGGATATCAATAGACTCGTTTAAAGTATTCATTTCGCAAGTTCTATGGTCGTTACAATGACCATGTCAACAAATACAATCTTCATTCAGTATGACTTTTTTCATACTTATTATAAAGCCACTATTTAAACACTGAATTTCTACGGATTTTTCCATTTGTCCGATCATGACAATGAGCACACGGCGGGTGATACCGGTCGACAAAGTATGCTTACTCCTTCATGGCACCTGAACCCATTTCTGATGTTTTTAAAGGTCCGTGGTTGCTCTTCTCCGAAAAAGTATTATTTCAATGGATTTTGAGATTGATTACTGTTCGTTATCTTCATATTTCATGCAATATCTAATTAATGAGATTAATATTCATCGCAATTTAGTTCATCATTTCACAAAATGCAGAAACAAGCTGATGTAACAAGAATATCGGCAGTCTCTCATCAGCATGACAAGGAGCACACGGCGGGTGTGACCGGTCGGCAGGGGATGCTCACTTCTCCATGGCACCTGATCCCATCTCTGATGTCTTAGAAGTCCGTGTTTGCTCTACTTCTATTTTGTAACGATTAATTGACTTTTGAGCTCGAATACTGTTCGTTATCTCCACATATTTCATGCAAGAAAGAAAAGCAATTCTTCTACACTCATATGTGAAATTCATATACTGGCCACGAATTTGGAATGAACGGAATATTGAATATATCAGCAGTGCCGTTGTTGTAAATAATACCATGTCAATATTGTAAAACGTTATTATTTATTTTGCAGGCAACGTTGAAGAACTGGACACTGCACTCAGAGGCAGAAGTGTGAATTTTGAACAAAACAGAGTAACAATGTTTGACTTTGCAGGACAAGCAGCTTACTATGCATGTCATCAAATTTATCTGAGTCCACGATGCTTTTATTTGTTGGTGCTAGATATGTCAAAGGACATGGATACTTTAGTGGATGCTGAAGTATGCAGATATCAAAAGAGCATCTTTTCCACGTGGACTTTCAGAGGTAAAGCTAAGATAAAGCTGCAGTTCAGTATATTATTGGGTTATTGAACTTATGTTGGTGAATATTTGCACGAATTGGCTGTACAAATGCACGAGCTTGCGAGTGCCTTTGGACAGCCAACTTGTGTCAATATTCACCAATATAAGTTCAATATCTCCTTTATTATATAGTCACATCTTCCATTGAGTTATATTAATTATTTCAATTAAATAACACAAATTAATAAGAATTATGAAGTATCGGTATTTAAATTAACGTCTGTCCTTTAAGTGTTTATTATCGCAACATTCCAATGACCCTACCAAGCGTTATGATTTACTTATTAAGGTTTTATTGAGGTTAATAAGTACTAAATTATTAATTAATGATTTCAATTTCGTGTGAAAATAAACCCATCTTACCTAGCTTCCACTATCTATCATAAATTTGCCTTTGCAAGATTGACCAGACAAACATTTTTTTATTACAACGGGACGTTCTATATTAAACGCTCGTATTCGAAATGTTTCGGGTATACTCATAATTATATTAATACATACTCAGCGTTCAACAAATTCCCAAGCTATTGAAAGCTAAACTTCTCTAGATTTTTAATAGTTTTTTTTTATTATAGACTATTTATTAGCTATATAATTAATATATATATTGAACTTCGGTATCTCAAACACTGATATCTCGAATATCAATTTGAAGGCTATGAAGAAGTGAATTGGGAGTCACAAACCCCTTATTCTATTAGTATCTTTTAGAGGTTTATCTTTGAAACACAGAAACACACACACACACACACACACACACACACGAAAAATAGGTATTTTGCGTTTGGATGACTTTTTAGTGGATATGAACTTCCCCTCTCCTTTACAAAAATTTCCTGGAAGTTGAAAATGTATTTACAGACCCATACATGTCTTTGTAAAGTACATTAGTTTGTATATACAGAAAATTTAAATTACATATTATACATGTATGAAGTGATCATGTGTTAAGTGTTTTTTTTCTTTTTTCTATCTTTTTTTCTTCAAACAGATGACTATTTTTGCGGTTTATAAATACCCGGTAATCGTTAATACATTTTATAATATTTCAGCATAAGTCTAACACACATCTTAGAAGGGGGTCCTCCTCGTTGCATCCGTCAAGTTTGTATACATTAATCAGTTGATTCTAAGGAGCCAACACATCCCAGAAGCATTTTTGTTGGTTTTCCCCGGGGGTGCGTTCAAGAGCGTAGTGGCTACGTAGCCTCTATGTAAAGCTACGATCTTGAATGCTAGCCTAGCTGCTACGTAGGGAGAGCAAGCATGAAAATTTGATGTTAAGTACCAAATCCAAGATGGCCTCCTTGGTTACTACTTCGCAACACACAAGATTATAAGAAAAGGGGGGATTGTTTTCTAAACACACACACACACACACACACTCCCTCACACACACACACACACATATACGTGTACAACCGCAATTCTCACTACACGAGGTTTTACACCTGAAAGTCACTACACTATGTTCCAGCAATGCTAACAAGATAAACAGACCATAACTGTGATTCTATGGGTCTTTGTATATGCAAATGAGGTTCAGAAAGATGAAAATTCAAATAATGAAAAAATGATTTTTCACCTAAAAGTCACTACATTTGGTCACGTGATTTTGCTCAATCACACACCGGAAGTTGACAAGTCACTACATGGCTTTATCAGGACACACACAGGAAACTCAGTACATAAACACTCTTGTAAGATATTATACAAGAAAATCACTACATTCAGTAAATTTTGAATGCGTTTCCCGTAAAAACACCAATTTTTCCAAATAATTGTCGAAAATACATGACAATGTCTGCATGAAATCTGTATACTATAGAAAAAAAAATTGTCAAAGGATATCCGATAAAGTTAAAAGATAAAAAATTGGCTTTCAACATCTGTATATAGATTAAAATAAAGCAAATGAAATGAGAAGAATAAATTAACCGTCATGACAAAGATTTAAAAGTATTAACGGCCAGGCACGTAACATCGTTTTTGAAAGTCGGGGGGGGGGGGCAGAAAATACAACTTATTACCCGAAAATCTTTGGCAAGCAAGAGAAATAGGTTAACTTCAAAAAGTCGAAAATCCTATTGGTGGGTTGAACTTTTGTGAACCCTCCAAAAAATTTCTTTACAATAAATTGACCGCATTTAAATACATAACAAAACAGTGCGTGTAGGGGGGGGGGTGTTAATGAACACTTTCACAGTTAATTAAAAATAAAATTTTAAGTTTGAAAAAAGGAGGGGCCAAGCTACCCCTCCCCTCTGCTTTTACGTCGCTGACGGCAATGAATTGCCGAGTGTGCGTTGATTCAAGACTTGCTTCGTCAAGAATATTCGTTTTGGTTTTTTTTTTCTGTTGCATTGAGTAAGACAAGTAGAAATTGAAAATCGTTCCCCAATTTTAAATGCAATCATTATGTTTTTTATGATCTTAAAGAGTTTATTTTTTTCTTAACAAGAATTTTATAGGATTACAAATTACTTAACTACTGTTCATGTAATAACATCTCGTTCTTTTTTATGTGGATGACACCACAACTGGCATTCAAAGGAAAATTTACAATAGTAATATAGTATATTCAGAAAAGGGGGGGGGGTAGCCTCCGCGTTCTACGGACCTGAAATAAGGGGGAAAATAATGATCCCTCTTATTTATTCTTGCAATTTAATGACTTCAAAAAACTGAAATTACTTTGGTGGGGAAAGTCCACTTCATTGTTTTTTTTGCATAACATTCTATCATTTCATATTCATCATTTCATTTTCCAATTCAGCATTTAAAAATCCCATTGCTCAAATATGTTGGTCTCTAAAACCATGATTTTTTACGAAATGCAGTTCATACAGCACCCTTTAGTTTTCTTATCCCTTTGCTCAAATGTTTTACAACATTTTGAAAGATCAAACAAAAAAGACGGTTTGTTTGCATGAAACAATTTAATTGCATCAACTATACAAAAAAGTACATAAAAAGAAGGCTGGCATGAAATAAGATACACATGTATAAGCCAAGTGTTAATAGATAATTCTTGCTGTTAATTTTTAAGGTATCCAAAATAAGTTTATTTTCACAGAACAACCAAGGACAATCAGTCAGTATTTGTGCAAAATATAGTGGCATTTTCTTAGTGCATTAAACAACATACAAGTTTCGAAATAAAAAAAAAAACTCTTTAAGCTTAAAGCTGACAACCAAGCAAGAAATATAAATATCATGCAGTTAATAACTTCCTGTGTTTAAAATGCAACAAAAGGCCCTAGGCTTTGACTATTACCTGAGTATTATGAATTTCTCAGGCTGTGGTCATTTCAAAACCGCCTGGATCTAGAAATCTAGACCCATGCAACAAAAATCGTAAATTTTCACAAGAATTCTATATTTATTATCATATTGATGCAGCTGAACTCCTAGAAGTTCAAAAGTAAAGAGGATAAGGTATACTGGCTAATACTGTGTAAAACATTCTAATTTATGACTAACTCTGCCTTTTCATGGGCCTGAAACATGAAGAAGCCTTCAATTAGAGGGCTAAGCATTAATTAAGATTAATTTTAGAGGTCCATGTTTGCTCTGCTACGAATATGGATTATTCTAATGGACTTTTGAGTTTGATTACTATTCATAATCTTCATATTTAATTTTATGCCTGCTAGTTTGCCTGCTAGATGTTCACCAGTAAAGGATTTTTTAAAACTTCAATTTACAGCCCATAGCAAGGGTTTCAAAAGTAGGGGGGACTTCAAAAAATATCCGACAAGCAAAAAAAAACATTATTTACTGAACCGACCTTATTGCAACAAAAGGGGGGGGGGGGGGAGGGGCAACCAGGATATAAAGGATACTTTACTATAGCAAAATACTATACTCAGAAAAAGTGAGGGGGGGGGGGGTTCTATGGGCCTGTTGCAGTGTCAATATAAATAGGTAAACCTTGCATGAACAATGGGTCATGAGCGATAAATTTCACAAATTTTGGTTAAAAAAATTACTTGCTTAAATTATGCAAACAGCTGTCTGCTACATGTCCATGAAAAAAAATTTATAGGATATATTTTTTCAATATTCAGCTCCATCCTGAACCTATATGCAAAAATGAATCTCACAATTTTTTGTACTTAAAGAGCTATGGGCTTATATGATATGCATACCATCAACTGCCTGCTGGCAAAACTTCTCACAAAAGAGACATGAATGTTTTTTATTATCATAGTTCCCAGACGATGTTTTTGGCCTCTAAAAACCTGGTCTTTCGCTTCTCTGACTGTGGTAAAACTTTGCCGACATCATCATGATCATCTTCACATTCACTGTCCTTTTCGCTGTCACTTGCAAGTGCAGCTTGTTTCTGCTGCATTTCAGATTTGAGAGGCTTACTGGGCATATCTGAAATTATTATATATGTACATGTATTGACAAAAGGGATTCATCTTTATTTTTATAGAAGAGGCCAATGGGCCACATGGCTCACCCAAGTCACAATGGCCCTGCACATCCCCCCCCCCCCCCCCCCCCCCTATATATCCCTATGTAAAGCTTTGATTGCCTATTATGGCCTCATCTTACCCATTCAAACCTAATGAAGAGGTATGAAAGTTGTTTTTCCATACTTCAATCTGTTAGGCATGATTGAAACACTCTATGTAAGCTCCTTATGGAGATATTTATAATCTTTAATGCTGGCTAATGAACATCATGTTAATGTGATGCAAAGGAAAGTAATTTATTTAAAATGAATTTTGTCAATTTATCAGACTGTGATCATGTCTGGAGAAAAAAACAACTTATGGAATTAATCCTTAACTGTAATAAAGAAACAGTCATACTTAAAATTCAAGACAGAAATTCTGCCAGAATTTTAATTCACTTTAAACAATCTACATATTGTACAATGTAATACATAACACCTTATACAAGAGGCCCATGGTCCATGACACCTGAGCCCTTTTGCAAGAGAAAAGCAGAAATCAGTTCAGTATTGGAAAGTTTGAGTAATTATACAATTGGTGCCACCCTATGCCCTGTGGGTGATGATTTGAACAAACCTGAAACTACTTCTCCCATCCTACCCCTTAATGTTACGATTTCAATAAATGTGAATGTACACTACCTGAAAAATACTCCTGTATTAATATAACAAATCATGGCTTTGCTGTTCTTGAGAAGAAGGCCTTTAAAGACATTTTCGATATAATTCCATGTAAAAGTCTTATGCCCCATTGTGTCCCCACCCTTCTGCCAGGGGTCATTAGTTGATAAAACTTCAAGCTACATTACCTGAGTATGCTTCTGTATTAATATGACTTGTCATGGCTTTGCTGTTCTGGAGAATAATTTTTCTGGCCCACTCAGACCTGTTTAACTTTTCTAACTGATGTCAGTATTCTAGAAGTTGTCAGTATTTTGAGCAGTTTGTCAGTAAAAATGCAACTCAGCTTATTAGACATTTTTATATGAAGAACCCCTTGTTATACAAATACTAAGCACTAACTACGCAAGTCACCGTATGCTGTCTACTGTTGCTTACATATTTTACATTTGCCGTAATTATATTGTTTTTAGATCATTTTTGATAAGACCACTTCAATCAACAAGCTTCTTTATCAAACTGATTGGCAAATTTCGGGAACGACTCTGATTTTTTCCGTCTTTAGGGAAAATCTGTACATTTTCAACGTGAATCTGTAGAGCACTTTTTTACTCGAAGATTCATGGAAAATACTAAAAAGCTGTACAAGTAAACAACTCTGCCCATTGTTTCTGGAGAAGATTTTTTTAAAGATGCCATCAAATTTGCACTTATTTTTGATTATATCCCCTTAAAATAGGGTGATGCCTTTCATGTGAACAAACTTGAATCCCCCACCGAAGAATACTTTGTGGCAAGTTTGGTTGAAATTGACGCAGTGGTTCTTGAGAAGGAGCTGAAAATTTGAAACAACAGTGAGGCTGGAGATGGACAATGGACAAACTTTGATCAGAAAAGCTTACTTGAGCTGAAGAAAGTTCTGTTTTCAGCTTTATTACCAAGATCATTAATGGTATCTTCATCACAGCTTTTTTCATCGCTTGAAGGATGGTATGATTCATCATCATTACCATCATCATACTCGTCTGCTTCATCACTTAAAAGTGGCCCTGTATCATGTCCTATTTAAAATTCTAAAAAAGAAATTATCATTTTAAGACTGTTCATTTTTATGGGGTTAACTTTTAATTTGTAACATCCAAACAACATCATAAATATAGATTACCATTCTCATTGACAACATCATGACTGCTGCTTTCATTTACAAATGATTGGTGTGATTCCTCATCCTGCTCAATTGCAAAAGACTCTGTCAAAACATTCAAATTAGATATTAAATTGGAAAATAACACTTTTCTTAAAAAGTAAGATTCAAATTTATGAATACAATAGGGGTTATCTATTTTTTTCTTTTTGCCTTTACTATGCATGCAAAGAAGAGTCCCATGGGCTACAACATTTCCCATGTAAAAGAAGCTTTTCTTAATCTTTATAAAGAGTTTTTCTCCTTAATTTTCTCATGCAAAATTGTGAACTCATATTATGACCCTATCCTAACTCTAAAGGGTCTCTGAATCCACTATCCCCCCTTTTGTGGTCCAGTTGTTCTTAAGAGGATTTGTAAAGATTTTAACCAGTACATAAATGTATGTATATATTTCAAGGTAAATCTTTGATCCCCTATTGTGGCCCCATCTACCTCAAAGGCCATTTTTTGAACAATTTAAAATCTTTATTACATCAGGAAGCTTTCACATAAATTTCAGCTCCTGACCAGTAAAGTGAGAGTATTATGGGCTTTGAGAAGAAAATACACATTATGGTTTAATTTGACCTCCAAATCTTTTTTCTAGTACCATAATAGTGTACGATACATTTATTAACTTGACAACATACCAATCTTCTCCTGGATTTTGTATGCTGGTGAGCACAGACTGGGCTCACAGTTTCCAGCAAAGTTATCAGCTGTAACTCTAAACTCCCACTCTGAGTCCTGAGGAAGATCGGTGACAGTAAAGAGGGGTCAGTGCAGGGGTACTCATTTCTCTGTTCCCTTAAACCTCTCTTCTACAAGGTAGTCTACAAAGATAATCAATATTATCAACTGCTACAGTGTTTATGTGGTTTTGAACAGAGATCAACATTTCCCTTTTTTTATTCTACTTTTAAATTAGTACCTGTAATTTTACAGCCACCATTATGTTTAGGTGGTTCCCATTTCAGATAAGTTATAGAATTGTTGACAGCCTCTGGTACACCAGGTGGCAAAACCTTGGCTAAAATAAAAGTTTAAAAACGTGAAAGAAAAAATAATCGAAAATAAAGTACAATATGGTAACTGTTTTTTAAAATGTTATAATTTTTTTCAAATATACTTACTGTATTTGGGCTTGGGAGTTATGGGACCAATCACATCACTAGACTCACTAATTTAAAAACCTTCAAGATTCTTGGCCTGTATGTGGAAGTTGTATTCCTTGTCCTTTTTTAATCCCTTCACTGATGAAAAAACTCTCAAATTCAAGTTTTGTAAACAAAACAAATTTCAAGAATCACTTTTGTAAAACATCTTTTCACAGTTTTCAGCCATAATATACTAATTACATGCAACAAAAGGACATGTAAATCCACTTACTAGTTCATAAGAAAGATACATGTGTCAACAAGTAATCAGTTACTCACCCTCATAAACACACTCATCTACTGGGTAGTCATTAGCCTGCCTCCAGTGGTGGGGTCTTCGTATTCTATGACATATCCTATAATCTTCTTAAAACCATCATTTCTTGGTTTGGTCCAAGAGAGAGATTGACAAAATCTTCATCAATGTCGAAAACACTTGGATGTCCAGGAGGATCACAACAAGCTGAGGGAAACATTTAATATTTTCAAAATTTTTCAACCCAGTTCATCATGCAAGCACAAAGACATTCTTTTAATTGTATACACCAATCAATGCTCGAATCTTAACATATCCCTTCATATTGAAACGAAGTCTTAAAGTTTGGAATTCATTTGATATCTAACAATTCATGTTCAACAGAATTATCACTTCACTTCAGCTTAGCTTCAGGGGAGAAATCAAAATTCATACACATCTACAAAAACTAATCAATCACATGAAAATGAATTTCTTTGGCTACCACTTAAATATTTAGATGACTTGCAAAATAAAGTGGCCAGACAGGACAGTATATATAGCTTGAACGAATAGGGATATACTAAAATACTTAACTAAATGTGCATTCTCAACCAAATTTGTGCACAGTGCACTATTCAAAGAATGTCCATACAAAGTAGTCAAAATACCAATCCCAAAGATCTTGAACTTAGCATTTTACAATTTTTTCCTCATAAAAATAGACGAATTCAAAATTTGATGAAAAATATTAATGCTCTCAAACTAGGAATAATTAACATTTTTGGTGGAATGGCTCTGTTCAATGGTACCAGTTATGGAAGAAAAAAAATGCTGCTGTTTATTCTTTATCACAAAACACATTGTATTTAAAAAAAAATTCCATTTCTTTTTTATTTTAAACATTTTTTCCTTTATATTCCCACAAAAAACTTTAATCCACTATTGTTGTGCCACTCTACGGGTACCTCTAGGAACCATGACTGGGAAAAAAATTGTACAGCACTTTCTGAGGATAACAGCTAGGACATTAATATCACTAATCAATGTCCTGTTGTGACATACATTCCAATGAAAAACTTCAATCCTTCATTGTAGCCCTATCCTACCCCACTGTAGATGCACTTCATTTATTTATTTTTAATTACAAAAAGACAATTGAACAAACTACCATGTTATGACTGCATCTTATTATGACATTTTTTTTATATGTTGATGTAAAAAAAATATTGATTCCATACTGGTTCCACCTACCCCATTAAGTCAGATTTGAACATGCAAACTTGAATCTATACCATGTCAGGACACTTCCACGTAAGTTTCAATGGTTTATAAAAAGGAGATTTTTATATGAATCAAATTTTCACTGTTTCATAGCTACTTCTCCTTGAAAAGTTGGTCACCATTCATTTAAACAAATTAAAATTGCTAAGTGGTTCTCCAGAAGAAGTAAAATGCTCCTGAGCTTTTGAGTAGATTTTTGTCTTAACCTATATTTCCACTTTTGCATAATGTTTTAGTTCTTACAATAAATTTGGATTCTACAATACCAATTAAAATATATTCAGTTAAAACTCCATGATTAAATTCCATACCAAAAGCATTAAGTGAGGAACTACTGTATGTGTACTTAAAAAAGCAGGCTTCATATTTTAGGGGGCCCTTGGCGCAGACAACAATGCCCTAATTCACGAATACCACTAAGAAATCATTTATAAATACAATATATGGTACAGACATTTATAGCGCTAATTCATGATGTCGCCAACACCTCAAAACCCAGTGATTTCGCTAAATTTTGAATACACTATTTTATGGACACATACAGTATATTTTGTGGCGGAAGGTTTTTTTTTTAGAAGAAAATGATCATTTCTTTCTCTTTCAAAGTATTTAAAGTATGCTAAGTTTGGATTCCTATTTTTCCATGCAGCCTACACACAGAGTTATTCTGAGCCATGAATTGTTTTATGCTGGTCCTAAATTATATATCAAATAAAATATCATGAATTCTATCATTATATTTGATAAGTATAGCAAATATATTGTGAAAATCCAGGAAAAAATAGCCGTAATTTAAATTAAGCTTAAAATTAGCACTATTTTGGTAATATCTAAAAATTAACATCACAGACCCCCACTTTTAATTTTCTTTTCTGAATATATAAAATACTTTTAACCATTCTTCTTAAATTCAGTAAAATGTCATTACTTTCAAGATATTTTATTGCTTGATAAATTTTTTAATGCCAGAAAAATATTTTCTGAGTGCAAAAAGGTCAAATAATTGAACTTGCGAAGTAATTTGAAAATTTTTTGTTGTCACAAATTTTAATACACCTATATATTCAAGGTGAAATAAGACTGTGTTTGTTCCCATAATTTATTTGAAAAAAATATTGGAGGAAAAACTTTAAAAATTGATTTATGTGTAAGACGTATTTACAGTGCAAAAAAGTCAAACTAAATGCTCAATAGCGCCAAGAGAAGCACATTAACCCCTATTATTTGTTTTGATTTTTAATTAAGCTAGGTGTGTAGATTCTAAAAATATACTTGATAAAAGATTCTCATTACTTTTGAATTTAAAATTTCAAAATTATGCTTTGTAAAGTAGAAATCTGGTGTCTGATTATAATCGATAACATTGAAACACTAGAAGCTGATTCCAAACATTGATCAAAAATGAAAATAAACCAATGCAAAGAAACTCACAACATCTGTGTGATAAATGTATACTGACAGGGAAACTCACTACATGTGGGTAAATAATGCACTCTGGCAAGGAAACTCACTACATGTGTGTTAATAATGTACTCTGGCATGGAAACTCACTACATGTGTGTTAATAATGTACTCTGGCATGGAAACTCACTACATGTGTGTAAATAATGTACTCTGGCAAGGAAACTAACTACATGTGTGCAAATAATGTACTCTGGCAAGGAAACTCACTACATGTGTATGATAATTTTAAACAGACAAGGAAACTCACTACATGTGTGTAAATAATATACTCTGGCAAGGAAACTCACTACATATGTGTAAGTAATGTACTCTGGCAAGGAAACTCACTACATGAGTGTAAATAATTTACCCTGGCAAGGAAACTCACTACATGTGTGCAAATAATGTACTTTGGCAAGGAAACTCACTACATCTGTGTAAATAATGTACTCTGGCAAGGAAACTCACTACATGTGTGTGATAATTTTAAACAGACAAGGAAACTCACTACATCTGTGTAAATAATATACTCTGGCAAGGAAACTCACTACATATGTGTAAATAATGTACTCTGGCAAGGAAACTCACTACATGTGTGTGTAAATAATATACTCTGGGAAGGAAAATCACTACGTGTGCAATTATTGTCCTCTGACACGGAAATTCACTACATCTGCGTGATAAATTTTAAAGTTAAAGATAGAAACTCAAAACGTCGACACAAATACTGAGATATGTGATTAATGCAGAGATTATTAGATACTGTACGTAGCATGAAAAAAATTGCTGGCTTCACATCAATGTTACTATGGAATGAAGGAAAAAAATATACTACATGTTTTGTCTTTGATGAAAAAAGAAAAAAAAATAAAAAAGATAGAAATAATGTTATATTGTAATATATTTCAATACAAAATTTAATATTGCAATGTATCCAAGGTATTGTAATAGGATTTTTAATTTGCAATACCTAGCACTTAACTATGAACACAATGAGTGATTTGGCAATGTTAAAACAAACTACATTTCCTTTGCAGTAAATTCATCATCAACTTGTTCCTACTATGGATAAATTATATATGGCTCAACTAGTATTATAAACAATGAAAGTATATCCCTGAATAGAAAATAGCAAAATTTATATTTTTTTCCCTAAAAATGTATGTCTGTAACATGAATATATTTCATTCAGAATGAAAGTAATAATAAAGAAATAATCCTTGAAATATTATGTTTTTTACATTATGTCAAAAATCTTGACGCGAGCCCATTGCAGAGGTCTGAGAGAGGAACGAACGACTACTCTGCATAGGAGATTTGGTAAACAGCAACCCCCCCCCCCCCTGCCAAACAAACAAACAAAACAAAAAACACGATATAATATCTAATCATAATATTTAATCTCCTGGGGTAGTGAACTCTATAAAACATGTTTAGTAGACTTATCTATAATGCATATCATAGACTGAAGAAATATGGAATCAAAATAATCATCCCAAATTAAACATACATGTATTAGACCATTAGAGAGAATCTAGGTATGTCACTCCAGTTTGTTTACTTTGTACCCCATTGGTTTTTCTGAGTTGAAATCATGTTTTTATTTCAAAATGAAATGCCATTTCACATTCTTTTGACATATAATTCAGTCGGTCTTTAATTTGATGAAGCTTTTAAATTGGATTTGCATCTCATAAGAATCCTACAATTTATTCTCAAATACAAATCAATCAGTGTTTTGGAAAATCCTTAAGTAAAAGCAAGAGGCCACTCAATCTCATTCATAACAGTATGTCACTTCTTTTCATATCCATGCTCAATACATTTCACTCTGATTCTTATTCTTCATAATTTCAATACTTTGCCGATGCTTCATTGTGTTAGCAATGTATACCAGTTCTTCTTACTTTTATACTAATTCCAGTTCTTAACTACTGTAACATTATTTTTAAATTTGCAAATTAAATCTCTGTTACAAATATCAATTTAAATATTTTTGTTGTAGGCAACCAAGAATTCAAGTAATGTGAGAAAAACAAAATGCCAGTAATATGTCTTCAATTATGTCATAAAAAAGACTCTGGCCATCCGAACCGAGCAGCATCCAATCTTATAATTATGTGTTGATACTTATAAGTGTTGTCAAATCGGGCAATTTTTAGTAACCGGTTACTCGCTTACTTTTCCGATCAAGTAAACGGTTACACAGATGGATTTTTTTTTTAGACCTTTAAACATCCTTGCTCATGGTATGTATTCAATAATAACTGTAATATATGTAACGTCATTACAATTTCCATGTTTAACATTTACATACTGGCCAATATCAAACGCAAATGCACTGTAGATGCATTTCATTTATTTATTTTTAATTACACAAAGACAAATTAAAGCTTCTAAATGAATTTGTTCTTGAATATCCTGTAATAGTTGGCAATTTTTGCGGATGTCCTAAATATAAACTTACTTTAGTTTTGTTTCTGTGTATGTTAATTTCATTTTACATATTTTACACCTTTGGGATTTAAATTCTTTTAAAACATTTCGGAATCTATGCTTTTGATGGCTGTGGAGGCATCTTGTTTAAAATTAATCCTGTACTGCGGACTAGCACAGTATAAGTGAGGTAATTATAATTAACCCAGGTTTTCTACATTGTATACTGCTTGGCAATCAAAGCCATCGATTAGATAAACTGTGAAAACTAAGTGTTATCAAAACAAATTGGTCATGTTTGTGAAACGCTAGATCAAGTCTAATGTTAAATAACGGTAAATAAAATGGTAGAGGTGTACATTCATTTCTGAACAAAATAACATTTCTTTTCTACTTTTGTCTATATATCCGAGTAACTGAGTAGCAGTTTTACTATCTGATACTCGCATTGTTTGCCGATTAACCGGTTAACCAGGTACTCATTGACAACACTAGTAGAAATGGTTAAAATGGCATCACACAAAATAAAGATAAATTAATTATTCAAACAACAGGGAGTAATACAGTAAAACATGCTTACAATAGCAAAGAGCTGGGGACCAAAATATTTAATTCTTTATAAACATAAACTTTCCATTTACAACACTTTTAAATCTATGGGGAAGGAAATCACTTCAATGTAAGCATACAAATTCATTTTAAGCATGTTTGCTATAACAATGTTCTGGCTGATTGATTTGAAAATTTTATAAATGGTTCTTCAATGATGTGCACAATTTAGGAGACACTGCAACAAATGGAAGCTAGACCACTGCTCCTTGATGAAAATATATCCTTGTTCGTAACCTTATTATAAATCTAGCTTAATAGTCAGACTGGGTGAAGCCTATCTTTATGAAGTATTGATGGTGGCATTACATAAAATCAAAGGCCTGAAGGCCTGAGAGACGCATCGCACTGAAGGTAGAAAACTCAAATTTTTTTACTCAGAAAAATTCGACATACATCTTGAGGGAACGAAAAAAAATCAGGAATAAAAATAAAAATTAAAAATATCATTTCTTTGAGGTTAAAAAAAGATTTTGAGTCGTGGCATTTTTTTAGTCGGTCGGAAGAGGGCAAACAAACATTTTTTTAAAGATAGTCTGATATATCAATTATAATTCATTGATATTTAAATTAATCTATAATTGATTTTAATTATACTTTTATTTTTTTTTATTCTTTCATTATAAACATAGTAGAAAGATGAAATAATGAAAGAGAATTTAGAAATGAATGATTATTGAATAATTCTATATAATTTCATATCTGAATTTTTTCCGTTTCTTTCATTATGAGCATTTTTTTTAAAATATCAATACTTTGTCTTAGACTAGTTTTATCAATCAAAATGACATAATACGTAAACCATAGTGGGATACATGAAATGTTCATATAATTCGGACTGAAAAAAAAAACAATCGGGAGTGGTATACGGTATACTATGAAACACGTTTCCTCCGATATTTTCGATAAAATTAACTCAAAAAGCCTATGTTTATACGGTATTAGTAAACCTATAAATTGAAATCCACTGTCATTGCAATTTTTTATCAGATATTTTATCATACTCAACTGACATTTTACCAAAAACCGATCATTTCACCGTTTCATGTCACCCTTACTCGTGGAATTTTTTTCCCAAAACAGTCTAGACGAACTCCAAAAACAGCTTTGCTTTTCCGGAAGTAAGAAATTGAGACTGAAAAAGACTCCGAAAATAGAGTCCGCGCATGCGCACACGCACAAAAAATAGCGATTTTTCAGCAAAAATGATGGGTCTACAAAAACTGTCTGTGCAAAGTTTTGGAAAGCATGGCAATTATGCCAGTACTCAGAAATGCTAAATAAAAGACTTCGGAAGAGATCGTATTTGTCAGATTTTTGATTTTATTTGCAAAAAAGGAGATATTTACTTTCAAAGTTGACGTTTGAAGTCAGGTCAATTACAGAGAAAATGATACGTTTGAGAAGTAAATATGCATAATAAAAGGGATATATATGCAAAATGGGACAATACATATTGTAACTGTTAAAAACTTGACTGAATTTTACACATATATTAGCATTCCGGTATTTTTATTTGTGTACGACATCTGAATTGAACGCGTAAGTTCTTACCATGGTTATTTACCGATTTTTTTTTATCACATACAAACAGATATTATTATGAAAACATTTTTAAAACTATTAGCTATCAAAATGAAATCTTTAAAAACCACTCTTCTAGAAATTAAGGTCACAACATGTCTTCTAAATATAAACCTGTGAATATCTCTGCTCCGTAGTGAAAAATGCACATTTTCTAATTAAAATACATACAAGCTGGGTGTCTTCAAAAACAAGTAAAAGCACCTAGATATCGTAGGAACAACATAAAATTTAAATCAAGGAGACAATAAATCAAATAAGAAAATAATTCTTACCGGCAGTATTGAATTCGATGTTGTATAATCCAATTTTCTACTATGCAAGAGTTTGAAGCAATAAATAAGTCAATATCCACAAAATAATTTCATAAATATAATTATCCATTCAACAAAAATTAAAGTAAAGTCACAATGCACTAAATACAACCATTATGCAGCCGTATATTTGAAGAAAGCGAACGACAATCCATCGTTTGTTTACATTGGATGCCATTTTGCCGCAATGCATGATGGAGCCAAAGACTTCGTTTTTGGAGTTCACGCCGTTTTTAGAGTTCGTCTTGACTGCGAAAGGTGGCCCTTGTTGCAAAAATTTATTCATTTGAACATCTTACTATTCGTTTCATCAAGTGAAAAAATAATGATATCCCTTCTATTTCTATAAAAACAACCATCTTGTTCCTACTGTTAGTGATGTTTTATAAAATAAAATTATTGTATATTTTTCTCAGATATTCGTACAAGCAATGTCGTATTACAAGGCCTAATAATTTATGGCAAGAGCTGTTGTGATGTAAATAGATCTTACTCCGCGTAGCACATGTTTGTTTGTTGTTGTTTTCTCTCTTTCTCTATTTTTGTTTTGTTTTGTAATTGTTTCTTTTTTGTTATCTTTGTTGCTTTCAAAGTATAAACAACATATATATGTGAGATTTTATGTTATTTGGTATTTAAAATAGACAATGAATATCACCAACTTGTCAATATACATTTGCTCTATTTTCAATGGCGTATTTAGAATCAATATTGTGGAGTCCTTTGTCGCCGCAGTAATTGAAAAGAAAGAAATGGGGGTCGACTGCAATGAGGCCACATCGCTGTTAGGGATGCGCCTCAAAAAATAGTTTGTGTCCAAAAACATGTGAATAAACATGATAAATATTAAATCCCTCTTTATGACATGATATCATGAAATTAGCTTAACAGCAGACTGGGTAGTGCAACTTGTATAATTATATTTATATATATTACCTGAATTAATCTCATCATCATCATCACTGTCAAATGAATTTCCATTGAATTCCCAACTAAAAGGGTCCGATTCCACTTCCACATCTGAGCTAGCCATTTGGATGTCTAAAACATCAAAGCATTTAGATTCAACATCACTTTTTAAAAATTAAAACTGTCTTCAAACAAGAGGCCCATGGGCCACGATGCTCACTTTGGTCAAATAGGTTCAATAAAAGACTTACTTATAGACACAAAATATTACAAAAAAATTTATCAATTCAGATTCTGAGATCTTATTTTCCAGGTATAAGTCTTCTGCTAAATGTGTCTTTGTGTGACATCATATTGTAACTAGGGGATTGCTCTAAAATCAGCCCCAGTATTTCCAATTTGTTTAAACATCATTTATGTTAAAAATTATACAAAAAATATTTTTTGGAAAAAATATACAAACTTAAATTTAAATACAGATCAATCTGGATTTTAACTTTTTTGCACAAAACTATAAATTAAGAGCATATAAAATTATAATCATGTAATGAAAAAATATGAAATTCAAGCAATATTATCATTCTTTCTACATCCATCCACTTTACAAAACAAAACCACAGATGTTGAGAGTAAATTAATAATATAAACTTACTTTTATAGTCTGATATAAATTTGATCTCAAAACTTTTTTGGTCAAAGCCAGCCTGGCAGTAAAAATCTGCTTCTGACGAAGGTGACATTCGTCTTCTCTGAAAATAGATGTGATCAGGGAATACATAAGCTTTTATTAATTCATAACATACTATATAAATGGTGCCTGTTTTGGAGGGTAACAAATGAAATTGACACCCTTTTGAAAACCATTGTTAACCTTTTGTTTTGTCATTGAAATGATCCCTCCTGAAATATTTTATCGACCAAATATTAGAAGATTTTTTTAAAATTTTAATCAATTCTTTGCCTGTAATCAAATGACCACCAAAACTTGTGTTGGATCTAAGGGAAAACAAGTTTCTTGGTTGACTAGTGATACTTTTTACAAAAAAGTTAACTGTTTATTGAGTTTTTTTTAAAACATATAAACATAGGTAATCAAAGATTACAAAGCTCAATGAATGGTACATGTGTATCTATAAGTAAGGTAAATCTTGTACCAATATTGTGTGAGATCAATTATCAATGCAAGTTTGGTTAAAGTAGGACTTATAGTTGCATGGGAATAGACCTGCTCGTAAAAACTTTAAACTTAAACTGTTTACTCATAAAGAAAATGTAGGTCAGTTCCAGCATCCATAGCATGTCTGGTAGTGTCCATCCCTAGTTTCGTCATCCATGCAAGTTTAATCATAACATGTCATATAGTGATAGAGCTACTCCAAAGACATTACTCTGGTCACATATCTGAAAAATGTAGGTCAGATTCAGCATCCAAAGCAAGTCTTCTTGTGTCCATCTTTAGATACATCATTCCATGCTAGTTTGGTTCTGGTAAGGCTAATAATTACTCATCTGGAAAATAAAGGTTAGATCCAGCATCCAAAGCAAGTCTGGTAGTGTCCATCCCTAGGTGCATCCTCCATGCAACTTTGGTTCAGGTAGGGCTTAGTTACTTGGGAATGCATGGACTTGCTCCAAAAACTTTAACCTGGTCACTCATCTAGAAAAATTTAGGTCAGATCCAGTATCTGAAGCAAGTCTAGTATTGTCCATCCCTAGATGCATCATCCATGTAAGTTGGGTCCAGGTACGGCTTATAGTTACTTGGGAATGGACTTGCTCCTAAAACTTTAACCGGGATGCCGACACAAACGAAAATCAATAATTATGATTTGCCATCTAAATCACATGAATGTTCAATTTCAAGTGTGATTTACAACATTTTCATAATTTTATTCGGTAAATAAATAAAAAAAATTACAAATTCATTTTTAATGGACCCAAATTATAGCTTGTATAGCCACTGTATTAGTGTAAAATGTGCACTGTGCCATTTGGCTGACCCCACAAAATGCAAGAAAGCCTGATTTTCTAGTTTGTAAGTTCATTGCAGTCTGCACTCTTGGTATTCGTCATCGAAATTAAATGATATCCATGATGTATCATATAACAAGAGGCCCAAGGGCCTTAACGGTCACGTGAGTATAAAACAATAATCCATAGAGGATCCATAGAGTATAAAATAAACTGATAGAACCTTAATTTGTTGCCCAAAAGCAAGAAAAATAGGATGATCATGATCTTCGAAATAATTAGTCTAATATTCAGTAACAACTCATAAATTAAGTTCTAATCTGTCCCCAATTTAGATTTTTTTCCTATAAGTTTTATTTTCTAATATGCCCCCACCCTACCCCCGAGGGTCATAATTTGAATAATCTTGAATCTACACTACTGTAAAACACTTTTTATTCACAAGAACTTTATTTTTGCGTAATTACGTGAGACAGTGTGCTGGTGAAAATTTCATTCTCACTTATCTTAGTATTCCTAAAGATTATATACAGCAAACACATTTCGTGAATATTCTGTCTCGCTAATAAGGAGTCAGTGACTATCTCGCGAAAATGAAGTGTCCCGAAAATTTAGTGATCTACAGCACCTGAAGATGTTTCTGTATTAAAATGACTAATCATGGCTTTGTTGTTCTTGAGAAGAAAATTTTTAAATGATCTTTCATATATATTCCTAACTAAAATTTGATCACCTGTTGTGTCCCCTCCCTACCCCAGGGGGTCATGATTTGAACAAATTTGAATTTACATTACCCAAGGATGCTTCCATATAAATAAGACAAATCATGGCTTTGCTATTCTTGAGAAGAAGATTGTTAAAGATTTTTCCTATGTATTCATATGTAAATCTTTGATCATAAATTGTGGCCCCACTCTATATTACCTGAGGATGCTTCCATGTAAATATAACCAATCATGGCTTTGCTGTTCTTGAGAAAATAATTTTTTCAAGATTTTTCCTACATATTCCAATGTAAAAATTTCATTGTTCATTATGGCCCCACCCTCCCCGGGGATCATCATTTTAAGAAATTTGAATCTACACTACCTGAAGATGTTTCTACATCAGTTTCATCTTTCTTGGCCCAGTGGTTCTGGAGAAGATTTTTCCAATGTATTCCCATGTAAAACTTTAATCTCCCATTGTGACCCGCCCTGCCCCCGGCAGGGGTGTGCAATTACCATTGCCCAATGCTCAGGGCTACCAATTTTAGAGGTTGGGCTATCATAAATCTATACTGCATTAGCCTGTCGGGCTAGTAAATCTGAAACGAAAGTATATGTATATTTACATCGACTGAATTGATGTACGAATTAACTTTGTTGTAAAATCATAATCTTTAATTCTTTTCAACATATATGTATTGTGTGTGGCTATCGCCAGTCGTATCAGTGACAATTATATTCAATAAAAATAGGGAGAAGTACCTGACAATAACATAGTGGAAACCATTATTTGTTTTATTTATTTCAACTTAAATTTTTTTTTTTTTTTTTTTTACCTTTTTGTTATACTTATACATGTATTGTTTTCGGTAGTTAATGGGCTAGTGATGATTGTCAACCTCGAGCTAGTAACTTTGTTACTTCCACTAGCCCAGGCTAGTAACTAATTTTTGTAATTGCACACCCCTGCCCAGGGGTCATGATTTGAACAAACTTGAATCTACACTACCTGGGGATGTTTCCACGTAAGTTTTATCTTTCTTGGCCCAGTGGTTCTGGAGAAGAAGATTTTTAAAGATTTTTCCTATGTATTCCTATAATGTAAAACTTTGATCGTCCATTGTGGCCCCACCCTACCCCTGGGAGTTATGATTTTAACAAACTTGAGTCTACACTACCTGAGGATGTTTCCACATAAGTTTCATCTTACCTGGTCCAGTGGTTCTTGAGAAGAAGATTTTTAAAAGATGCCATTAATTTTTCACTAATTCTTAGTTATCTCCCCTTGGAAGACGGTGTGGCGCTTCATTTGAACAAACTTGAATTACCTTTACCCAAGGATACTTTGTTGCAAGTTTGGTTGAAATTGGCCTGGTGGTTCTTGAGAAGAAGTTGAAAATGTAAAAAGTTTACGCAAGACGCACACCCGCACGACAACGGATGAAAACAGATACATGTAGCAATAGGTCACCTGAGTGACTCAGTGGCCTAATAAAATCAGAGCCACCAATCAACATATTGACATCCACTGGCTAAGCAACAAACTTTTCCTCTGATGTGGTTCCTAACTCCAAAATATCAAGTCATTTTGCATGGCTGCACCACAGATTTATGAAATTGATGCATATGGAAAATATTACCTTAGGCCATTCCAAGTTTTTTCTATGTTAAGCATCCACCCATCTTTCAAATACTTCCCTACCTATTCGCAAAAAACACACAAACCAAAAAGTAAAACACAAGTCATTATAGCCATAAAAATGATGTCATTCAAAGAATATGATTCCATTCATCTATTTTTCTCATAGAAATATTTATTCTTCAGCAAAATCAAGGTATTAAATGCTTAAAATATTCCAAATATGGCATATTGTAGACAAATACTTAGAGAAATTGACAGAATTCAGTGAATCGACCAGAATAAACAATTTCAGGACTCCTGATTTTGTTTGTTTGTTTGTTTGTTTTTTTTTTTGTTAAGGGATGTCAAAAAATCCAAGGCACAAGCGGACGCTAAACATTGAAAAAACTTGGAATGGCCTTAAATGTACAATGAAATACCATAATTACTAACAAATTCTAATTAATTATCTAGGCTCGCTCTTTGATCTCTAAAAGTTGGAATTAAAAAATGATTTTGGTTTAAATATATTTTATTCTAAATACTTGCTGTAATAGATGACAAATCTCCATGAAGTTCTAAAAACAGAAAATTTATTTCCACATATCTGTTATCAAGGTGGCAGGGGATAATTTTTCTTTTCAATGCCAAACATGTGCCGAGGGAGTAGGCATATGCATGAGGTCAATAAAAACAGATCATAGTTTGGAGCAGTTTCTTGGGTGCTAATTAATTGCACTTCATATATCTATAGCTCAAAAAATGTGTCAACGTATAACATGTAACCTACATATTAAAGTGCACATGTACCGAAAATGCACTTGGAGGTCTCCAAAGATTTTGGCTTGTTTTTCCAAGATTTGGGCTGCTGTCGCACCTATACAGCCCATCCCATTCCCGAGCAAGCAGGATAAAACACCCAGTATTCTGTAGAACAATGCATGCCCTAATGAAAATTCACCAATTGATCTGGGGCCATTCACCTTCCCTCTGAGATGCACACCACTGCTTTTCAGCTGAATTTCCTCTGCGACTGACCAAATGTCTTAGTTTCGCATTTACAACTCTATATATGCTAAGCATCAGAGTGACACCTACATGATGCACATCATTTTTCTCAGCAAGCTCTGCTACACTGCACATGTACATGTATCCCATAATTATTCTATTCATTTTTCTACATAAAATATCACATCAATCAGGGGATATCTCAGTTTTTAAAGAAATTTGACAGTGCGTACTAATCTATAGTATGAAACTATCCCCTGCCACCCAATGTCATATGGCCATAGTCAAGTCGTACCCAAGGCAATTCAAATCTTAAAATGTTAACATACAAACATATATGGTTTTGAGTTGACACAGATAAATGCTGTTTTTATTCTCACGGATCAAAAAGTTCCTTGATAAAATGGTTTGCTTAACGGATAAAAGTTATGTAATTGATCCTAAAAGTTTTCTTTTATTATATTTTGCTAGTTGTAAAGGGGTATATAATAAATTTATCATTATAACAGTAACTTGATCCTGAGACCCGTATTACGTCTCGTTGACAGGCGCGGACATCAGATCAAACTAATTTGATCTGATGATCTGTGCATGTCAACTTGACATGATACGGCTCTTCGGATCAAGTTACTATTATAATTATATATATACTGGCCTCTGTTCTTCTTTCAGAAAATATCATAGGCTCAATTTCGTTGAGTCAATAATTTGGAATATCCCATAATTATCTCTTAATTTGAATCACTTAAACATGTTAAATCAACATATACCCCTGATCGGCCGAGAATTGCAAAATTTGGTGGTAATTTTCTTTACATTTAGATTATTTTACAATGTATACTTTAAAATTTATTAAATATCCATTCCAATAAACAAAAAGAACAGATTACATTTATCGGAAAGCAAATTTTTTACTGAGAATGAACATAGTTTGAAAAAATTGTAGTGTTTTGGGCGAGTAAACATGGTACTGAAGGAGATGCCTATCCCGTTAGTATATAGATCCCTGACTTAATGCATAGAATAATGATTATACGTTAAAAAAGTGTGTTATAAAATTTGCATTGTCTGTTTATGATACGGAATACAACAGATCTAGGGCCTATAAGTCAAAAAATTTATTTGTTTATTCATTTGAAAATTATGTTACAATTCCAGGAAATGCAGACATGGCTCTTCTTTATAGTAAAATTCTGCACCAGATTTTCATTTTGCTCAGTAAAAGTTCACTTCAATTATAATGCCCTGTTCACACGGAGAGTTTAATTCGAATTAAACATAAGTTACTGCGAATTAAATTTGAATCGCATTCGCACAGGGAATTTAATGCGAATTAGTTTAATTCAAATTAATTAACTGCACATTAAATTACTTCGCATTAGCTCCGTGTGAACGCTAAGCGAAGCTAATTCGAATTAAATTTTGACGCATGCGTAATGGCACAATTAAGTCACATGCCACATGTCTGTGGACAGATATGGATACTTATGATATTTTTTAGTGGAAAACAAAGAAAAATTATGTTAATCACTGAAATGTGCATAGAGACTATGACAGAATGTAATATGGGTTTGCTGCGCATAAGGCGACGTGATTTGAAAATGACATCATAATAGCCTTACTGAATAGCCTTACTGTAGAAATAAAATTTTAATTCCCATTAGTTTACTTCGCATTAGCTGTAGTGTGAACACAATTTAATTTGCATTATTTTAATTCACATTATTTACTTCGCATTAATTTACTGCGAATTAAACTCTCCGTGTGAACAGGGCATAACAATTTAATGCATGTTACTGTCAATCAAAAATTGTTTTAATCAGTAAATCATGATGCAAAAACTAACATAACTTGCAGAAGTCAGCATAAACAACTTCACTAGCGAATCAAGATCCCATTCAAAAAACATTGGTAATGTAATGCAATATCATGCACTCAAGTGTATAATATATAATTTTCTTATCGGTATTGTAAAACAATTGATACCCCATATGAGTTCCACATGGTGAAAAGAAGGACCCTTGACATGACTGACTTGCTAACCAGACATGACCTCGGCCACTACGTGGCCTTTTTCAGGTTAATTAGAATAATCTAACTGTGTCTTGGGACAGGCCCTCACTACAGTTAGAATCCCTCCCATATACCAATAACATAGCAGAAAATTGCAGAATCGCTCCGAAATGATTTTGGAGAAAATTAATGAAGTTGCATTGAAAATAACAGTCAAATTAATCATAAAAAACCTTTTGAGACTGTAAATACCTTTCATCTAAAAATTTAATCCATATAATGGAAGAATTCAACACTTTTTCACCAACATTTTTTACTCGTTTCAAATTTACTCAAGATGTTGACATTCAGAACTCTCAGGATATTTCATAGTAAATGCACAAAGTTAGAGTTATCTCCCGTATTTTCTTTGCTACATGGACAATACACGGAATGCATTCTATCGTTAAACAGGGTCCGTAGGACATTTATCATTTTAATGATAGAACATTCTATCTATGGTCAGGTCAGTTCACCTCGTAGACCAAGTCTTGGGTCCGTATTTCACCATGTTGACCTCAGAAGAGGTAATAAATTGTTAATATTGTTAAGTTATGAGTTGTCATCAATTTATATAGTGGAGTCAGCTTGTAACAATTCTCCTGGTTACGAGTTGAATTTTGTCGTTTCATTAATATGAGTTGACCTATTGGGTTTGATCTGATCTACTCAACATGCTAGAGGTTCACGGCGATATACTTTTGACTTGGCGCTCCGAGGTATATAAGGAGCGTAGGGACGTTTAACCGAGGCTCTTACTTGTAGGAGGAGATCTGACCTAGATACGATCATACGAGGCTGGTTACGAGTTGACCAAAAACCCTTAAACAGACACTGTAACTTTTCTGTGTTTCCCAATCCCAAACAAGGATAGACTGTAATGCAGGCCCAACTGTGTTCATTGTACGTGTATAAAAAATGAATAAAAAGGACACTATAAAGATTATCGTTCCGAAAAATTGACACATACAACTGACCTAGTTCGAATTTTCTCAACTAAGTGACAACTTTCCAAAGTTCACAGTACATACGATGAACTTCAAGCATCTTCTAAATTTCCATCTTCAAAAGTAACAAGAGAAGATTTTTATACTTTAAAGCTTACAAATACTTACAAAACTGTCTTTCATACGCAATGCAGTCTCAGTGATCAGTTCATGTTCATGTTGTAGGGTGTTACCTTCGCTTAACTGGTTCTTGTGAACTTCCGGTAACCAGCACATTTCTGAAACGTGGAAATCTTGTAATATGCAGGCAATATTTATGACTTTTAGAGTGGGACAGTTGCAAAGTATGATGGCAAAGGTACTTATTTTGGCCATTTTAGGGTGGGACAAGTCATTTTAACAACAAAAGACCCTACATACATAATCTATATAACTCAGTAACTGTAGGGCAGTGGCGGATCCAGAAGTGTCTAAAGATTAAGGGCCTGGGACACAAATTATAAATGCAATATTTAGCAACAACAAAATAAAAATTTCTTAATCTTTATACGAATAATTTTGGTTATAACAGGGGAGTTGGCGCCCCCCCCCCCGAACCCCCTCCTAATAAAGGTCCCTGATTTTATTATGAATTGAGAAAAGACTCATGAATACATGTAGTTATTCAAATCCATGAAATAAACCCTCAAATCACAGGTTCCTCCTAGTTTTTGGACAATTTAGACCTGGCCTTCCATGCAAAACTGTCAAATTAATCAATATAATCAAATTATCAGGAAATTAATTAATCAATTTAGATTTAGAAAGTATGCTACATTTAAGATATAGACAGTATGTTAGAAGCATATAATATACTTTTAGTCAAGAGTGTACGGGGATTTACCCTGGATTGTATTCCATACACCTTGAGGCTGAATCAAGGGTGTAGGGGATTTACTCTGTGTTGTATTCCATACATGTGTGCAGAAGGCCCCAGTGCTTTTTAACTATGCCTTGTGACATCACAATATTTTACCTTCAGCTCAAGCTGTACATAGTACATGTATACTAAATTACACCAGCTGGCTTGCTATACAAACAAATCTTGTATTACAAGTTAGCTTGCTGCTTCAGCCTCTGAGGATGTATAGAATAGAATTTACCAGAGGAAAATCTCTTTACATCCTTGATTGAATTGCAGTGGATATATCCCTGCTAGAATTACAAGAAAAACAATCCAATGCATGTCATATTTCCTTAGAAATAAAAAATGTCATGGTCAATTAAGATTTTATACAACTTTCAAACATTTTCAGATTGCATGATATCCAAAATCATGCACGTTTAAAATTCCCAAAATTATTTCATTTAGAAAAGGAAATCACCAAATATTTTGCAACTGAATGGAGTCTATACCCTTCAAGTAGTAGCCATCTATATCACAGCCTCAACATGGCTGATGAAGGAGAAATTTAAAGGTCATATTATATTGTATATATGTACAGGGGTATTTATGAACTTTACATTGTACATGTACTTTGATTTAATTTTCATACAAAATGAGGACGGGAAATATATTCTTTCACTGCAGTGGAAGGTATGAGACCAATTTTTTTAAGACTTTATAAATCTATGTTTATGCACTGGTCCCACTCTGGTGAATAATATTGCCTAGTCTCTTATTCATGGACTATAAATTTGTGGAAACTTGAATGTAATTGATATTGCAATTCAAATTATCCTAGTAATTAAGAATACGAAGCCAAATATACTTATTAAGTGGATGTTGCATTATTTTGTATGCTTTCTGTGGTTCATGACATTATGCTGAAAATTCTTTCCAAAAAATATTTACTTGTACATACGTATGTTTATCTAGAGTGTTCCAAGAAAAAACATGTGTTGCCTGCTATATAGGCTCATAAAAGTTGCAAATAAATCTAAGGATGGTCAGGTATTTGCTGTACAGTGCATAAAAAAATCCACAAATAGGAAGGCTCTGATAGAAATTGACAATATAATAGAAAATGTTGAATATGATTTCCCTATCCTCAAAACTAAACAAAATAATATTACAATTAAATCAGAAATAATTATAATTTAATGCATGTTTCCAACAATCCTCTGAAAGTCTGACTATCCCTATGATATTGACTTTACTACACTTGAATTTAACATTCAGCTGATTTTCAAAGGAAATACTTAGTATTCAAGATATCTTTATCTAAATTCACACAATGATATATTGTGAGAACTATTCAAATGTGTCCATTTTTTTTACCTTGACTTAGCTTTTTCATTTTGCATTTTGTTCAGTTTTAAAGGAACTTTTTTTTTATCCAAATACACATACAGTGTACTATCACATGTTGGTAAGAAGTATTCAAATGTGTCCTGAATTTTTTATTGTGACCCCTATGATATTGACCCAACTATTTCAATCTGCATTTAGCTCAATTTCAAAGAAATTATTCAAGATATTTTTATCTATACACATATCTGAGATAAACTATGTCAATTTTTTTTTATCTTGATCTTCCCTTTGACCTCGCTATTCCTTATTTTGCATGTAGCTTAGTCTTAAAAAAATCTTTTAATTTATTTTTATCTATGCACTTGCACTGACACATATTGGTGATAACATTTCAACTGTGTCCAAATTATGACCTGTTCCTTTTGTTAATCATTAATCTGACTATTTATTTTAGTTACAGCTCTTTTTTTTTTAAAGAAAGTATTCATAATATTTCTATCAAACGTACAATAACACAAAATTGGTGAGAGTTATTCAACTGTGTCATAATACTTCAAACCTTTATAAAGTTTCCTTTGACCTTGACCTCATCATTCCTCCTTTACTCTGATTTTGAACCATAGAAGCCTGATGCTTTTTTCCTTGTTTCATCAAAACTTATCCTGGGTAAGGCATTCATGTCCTGTTATAGATTTTAATTTCTTTTAATGAAGGTTGTTATCTAGAACACTGATATCTCAAATACATGGATACATGTTTGTCGAAGTGAGTTGGCACTCCCTAAAATCTTTTTTTCAGCATTCTTCATGTTTTTAACCCTTGTCATTTCCAATCTTTCTGCGAAAATTTCAAATTGTTATTAAAAAAAATGAATTGCAATGTTTATGCCTTTATAAAAAAAATTTAAACAAAATAAAAACAAAATTTTACCTATCAACCCTATTTTTTAGCTCTACTGGTCAGAGACCAGAAGAGCTTATGCGATAGTAAGGTGTCCGTCATCCGTCCGTCTGTCTGTCTGTCTGTCTGTCTGTCTGTCCGTCTGTCTGTAAACAATTTTTCAAAACGCTACTCCTCCTACAGTTTTGGTCCGATTTCAATATAACTTGGCACACAAGTAGACTACACTAAGATACATAATTTAGTGCATCGGTTTTTGATTTCGATGGACAGTGTTGCCATGGTTACTAAAAATAGCAATTTCTGTGAAATTCCTTTAAAACGCTACTCCTCCTACAGTTTTGGTCTGATTTCAATATAACTTGGCACAGAAGTAGACTACACTAAGATACATAATTTAGTGCATTGGTTTTTGATTTTGATTGACGATGTTGCCATGGTTACGAAAAATAGAAATTTCTGTTAAATTCCTTTAAAACCCTACTCCTCCTACAGTTTTGGTCTGATTTCAATATAACTTGGCACACAAGTAGACTACACTAAGATACATAATTTAGTGCATCGGTTTTTGATTTCGATGGACGGTGTTGCCATGGTTACTAAAAATAGCAATTTCTGTGAAATTCCTTTAAAATGCTACTCCTCCTACAGTTTTGGTCTGATTTCAATATAACTTGGCACACAAGTAGACTACACTAAGATACATAATTTAGTGCATCGGTTTTTGATTTCGATTGATGATGTTGCCATGGTTACTAAAAATAGAAATTTCTGTGAAATTCCTTTAAAACACTACTCCTGCTACAGTTTTAATCTGCTTTTAATAAATTAGGCATACAAGAAGACTATACTAAGATACATAACTTAATGCATCGGTTTTTGAATTCGGGGAACAGTGTTGCCATGGTTACTTAAAATAGAAATTTTTGTGAAATTTCCATAAAACGTTACTCCTCCTACAATTTTGGTCTGATTTCAATCTAATTTGGCACACAGTTAGAATACACTATGATACATAATATGTATTTCTGGTTTTTTTTTTTTCGGTGAATGGTGTTGTCATGGTTACTAAAAAAAGAAATTTCCGTGAAATACTTTCAAAATGCTACTCTTCCTACAGTTATCATTTGATTTCAATATAACTTGGCACAGAAGTAGACTACATTAAGATACATAATTCTATTTATTGTTGCATGTTGCAGAGTTTCAAATCCAAGTGCTACTTTTCTTTTGTTATACATACAGACCAGTAGAGCTACAGTCTCATCAGAGACTTCTGGTTATTAGCAAGTAATGGTACATGTATACAAGCATGTTTTTTTCCTTAGGCCGTGATGTCTTATAGATTTCATTCCAGTTAATAAATCTTGTTGATCGATTGATTGTTTGTTGTTTAATGTCCCTCTCGAGAATTTTTCATTCATATAGAGATGCTACCACTTGCTGGTGTAGGGCTACAAATGTTGACCTATACTCAGCACTCAGGGCCAGTGAGGGATATTTTTCGAGCCAGCACTTACTGTGACAAGGGACCTTGGTTTATACAGTCTCATCCAAAGGACCGGTCTCCACGACCCGCAGTGGGATTCGAACCTGCGACGTAAGGATCAACTCCTTTTTCCGCGACTCTAGAGCAGACACCCTAACCACTGCGTCATGCAGGCGACAAGATATCTTATTAAAAAGTCTAATAAACTGTAGCTCTGTACATTGTATCTACCTAAAATGTGCGAATTCAATGCATCACCAAACTCGATAAATCATGATATCTGTATAACAACATATTGCTGTTTCCTAATTAATGAGAATTAGTTTGTGTATATATATAGTGCAAACATATAGTGCATATGCATATATGCATAGTGTATATGCATATAAACATATCAAGTTTTCAAGCAATAATTACTTAAGTTGAACTTCAGTATCCATGACACTGATATATTGAATATCATGGATATGTTGAAAGGGATTTTGAAGTCCCAAACCCTTATTCTTTGGGTATTTTGCCCTGGATATCTTGAATCCTTAGATATCAAGGTTTGACTGTATTTAAAATTTTTGGAGTTTCATTGTTATTCTGCTAACCCAGTTAAGCAGGTATTACTATTTCAATCTATACCATGGGCGGATACAGGATTTGTGATTAGGGGGGGCGTGGATAACTTTGTTCAAACTTGGGGTCTGGGGGCCACCTTAAGGCCCCCAGTGGGTCCAGGGCGAAGCCCTGATGGGGGCCCAGGGGGCGAAGCCCCCGGAAGCTCCTGGGTTTTCATGTATTTTAAGAGTAAAACCAGGCACAATAATAGGGGTATTGGTTAGTTTATATGTACCAAAGTTTGGCATTATTAATACTAGTCATATCATACTTTGAATGGAGGGGGCCCAGGGGGCGAGGCGCCCGGAAGCTCCTGGGTTTTTGTGTATTTTAAGAGTAAAACCAGGCACAAAAATAGCGGTATTGGTTAGTTATATACCAAAGTATGGCATTATTGATATTAGTCATATCATACTTTGAAAATTTTAGGGGGGGCGTGCGCCCCCCATGCCCCCCTTTAAATCCGCCAGTGTATACTATATGTCTTGTTAATTCCTAACCCATACTAATTATCAGACTAGTAATCAATGACTTCCCTAAGTAAGTTGTGACTTATTGACCACTTTCGGGTACATTAAAAGTGGCAGATTCAGGACCCCCCCTCCCCCCCCCCCCCCCACTCCAAGATTTTTTTTTTAAAATTGTCATTTTTACAACATATTGCATAAATGAGATTGTCTCTTTGCTATATCCAAACACATTGTTCTGTATTATATTATATGTATTAAAAAACCCAAACATTTACTTATTGTAGTACTCTTAGATAGATTAAAGGCCGACTGAGTCATAATTTTTAATATTATACTTTCATGTAAATTAGTTGAATCTGATTCATCAAGAAACATTTGTTAAAAACACTATTACCCGCTGAATAATGAAGCCACACCCTCCAGGATAGCAACAGTCGACATTGCTTGACTACAGGTGATATTCCAAAAAAATATTGACTCTGCAGAATTTATGCGCGCAAGGTTCACTGTAATGTGATTGTTTGTTTGTTTGTATGTTGTTTAATGTCCCTCTCGAGAATTTTTCACTCATATGGAGACGCCACCACTTGCAGGTAGAGAGCTGCAAATTTTGTCCTATACTCTGCACTTACGGCCATTGAGCAGTGAGGGATCTTTTTTGTGCCAGCACCTACTGCGACACGGGACCTCGATTTATACGGTCTCATCCAAAGGACCGGTCTCCACGTCCAACAGTGGGATTCAAATCCGCGACGTAAGGATCAACTCCTTACTTCGCGAGCAGGTGCTCTAACCACTGCGCCACGCGGGCGACTCACTGTACTGTGTATTTGTATAAAACATTCAGTATGATATGAAAAATACTTCATGTAGTTGCAATTGAGGGTAACATTGAAAATTTTCACCCCAAGAAAACCATTGTCAACCTCGGCTGTGCATCGGTTGACAATGGTTTTCTAAGGCTGAAAATTTTCAATGTTGCCATGGTTACACTCAACTACATGCAGTATTTATATAATACAATCTCAAACTTTATATTACTGAGAAAGAACTTCAAGATATCCAAGGATTCAGGATATCGAGCCTCGGTTGACAATGGTTTTCTTGGGGTGAAAATTTTCAATGTTACACTCAACTTCATGCAGTATTTATTATATTATGCTGAATGTTTTTGCGAATACATATAAAAGTGAACCTTGCATGCATAAATTCTGCGCAGTCACTATTTTTGGAATATCACCCGTCATGAAGCATTGTTGACTGTTGCTATGCCGGAGGGCATGACTTCATCATTCGGTGGGTAATAGTGTTTTTTAACAAATGTTTCTCGGCGAATCAGATTCAACTATATAGCAGCAGAAATCATCTGAAAACTGAAAGCCAACCAAAATGTTAGTCTAAAAATGTTGATTTATTTTGCTCCCATCCTTTTGCATAAAGAAAGCTTGAAAATTCTTTCCATTTAACTCACATTTATCTTTTTTAATTACTAATAGTATGCGCAGTGGTTATAGCATTTGCTCTGGAGTCGCAGCTTACATTGCGGATTCGAATCTCATTGCAGGACATGGGGACAGGTCCTTTGGATGACAGTATATACCGAGCTTCTGTTTCATAGTATGCGCTGGCATGAAAAAGATCCATAATTGCTTATGGGTGCACAGGTCTAAATTTTTGGCCCTCCACCGGCAAGTGGTGGCATCTCAGTATGAGAGAAAAATTTTCAAAGGGATGGTAAACAAGCAAACAATTATTTTAATTACTTGTTCTTTAATATTAAGCAAATATGAAAGAATTTTATTTTTTCTCTTGAATATTTTGCAATTGTATCAGAGCTTGAATACTGTTCGTTATCTCCATATATTTCGTCAAACTCTTTCTTTCAAATAAACTTAACTTTCAGGAAGTTCTGGTTAAGTCAAATTACTGGTATATAAAATGTGAGATTATATGATGAAATAATTTCATTAGAGATGATGAAATAATCTCATTAGATAAGGCAACATTATTTACAATGAATTGTTTAAAACAGATAAAAAACACTAAAAAAAAAAAAACCCAAACAAACAGATAAAAGAACACTAAAACAAATTCACTTGTTTTAAGTAAAATATTTACATATGTTTATTTACTAAACATTTTTTTAAGAAAAGGTAAGTCCACTTTTATCATTCTTGATCAGGAAATTCGGATTATCCCTCATTCTACTTTTACAACCAGTAACTCACAATGACTTTTTTCAATATCCTAATGTTAAGTGCACAAAAGACAAACTTAGGGCCTATAATTTATTAATTTATCTGTTTGCAATCGCATTGCCTTTGACAAACTACTTTAAAATGTCGGAGTTTCGAGGAAATTCAGTCAATATTAATAAATGTTATGTAACATATAAAACTGATTTTAAAGTTTAAAATAATAATTACATTAAACACGGTACGTTAATTATTTCAATTAATAGAGAAAATATCCTTAGAAGAAGTGCAACTTTATTCACATCCTTAACTGAATGTCATTTCTAACAAAATAATCTGTTAAAATCATGTTATAATTTTTTTTTATCAGTACTCTGGTCTTTAAGTGACTAAATAATAATAAAACATATCAAAAACAGTTAATTCGGATTTTGTACTATGTAAAAATTGTCAAAATATGTTGTTAATAACTTACTTTTACTGTTGATGTCCATTTTCACGGAAGTTACTCGTGCGCATGCGCAAAAAATCCATCAGGGGAAAGTGTGTAAACGCCATGATGCAGCATGAAAATGTGTGTGGAAAAAATCACGTTCAGACCGGAAACTCACACTATGAACAATTTTGTATTTTCTGGGTAATATACGGTGCGAAATTCCGTTTTCAACACTTTAGAAAACTCACTACATGAGTGTAAGTGGTGACTCTTCAAAATGTAGTGACTTGCTGGTGTGTTACCTAGTGCGTGTAGTGAGTATCGGGGTTTTACAAACACACCCTCACACACACACACACACCCTCACACCCCCCCCCTCACACACACACACACACACACACACACACACACACACACACACACACACACACACACACACACACACAAATATATGTATATATATATATATGTATATATATATGTATGTATGTATGTATTCGCTTGAAATAAACACTGACATATTTTTATCCGAAATCTTCCACTAAGCAGCTAGGCTAGCTGTCCATTCAATAGAGATAGATATCTACCACATAGCTGCTAGGTTAGCCGCTACGATCTTGAACGCAGCCCAGTACATGTAGTTTATTCCATACCTCCCTAAGAAAAAAAAAATGAAAAAAAGGCTTTCTTGCCTTGGGCCCAGCGATCACACAAAGAAGAACATGGGAAAAATAAGTCTTTATGCATGTGGCATCGTTTTTAAAAGAGGCAACCAGAAAAATAATTTACACTTTTATTTGAAAAATCTGGAGGGGGGGGGGGGGTTATGGTTCCAACTTTTTCACAACATAATTTTTCGATCCATAATTATGATGGGTTTTGCCCTTACTACAACACTACAACAAAACGTGTGGGGAGAGGGGCAACCTGCATTTCAATGAACATTTTGACACTAAATTAACAGTAAAAGTTTAGGTTCGATAAAAAGTGGGAAGGGGGAGCGAGTAATTTCAAGGACTAATATCATGTCGGCACAAGCAATAAGGAAAATCAGTCAAATTGTATGTTACGACAAATCTTAAATTATTTGATCTTGAATGTGGGAGAAGGATGGACATTCGAATATTGTGAGATCAGTTAGGTTAATTGTTTCTCACCACTGGGCTTTAGAGTGTTCGACCATTGCACTGTAGCACAGTACATCTCACAGGAAACGATATATCGGAATTTGGCCTGACCATTAGATTTTGGCATCCATACCGAGACAAGACTTTCAGGGTTTGGCAAAGACTATCGGATTTTGGCGAGACCATCGGACTTTGGCTTGGCCATCGGACTCGAGTCTTAAACATATAATAAGGAAACAAGGCAGTTGCGACTCGTTTGCATTTGGCATGGATAGAAGGTCCTCTTCAAGCTGTCATTATATAAAAATGTTATACATGTAAAATTATAACATTTCTTTTGTTTTAAAAATTTATTTCAATTTTTATTTGAATTTCTTGTAGATTATTTACTGTTCTGGCTCAAGTCCATCCATACCTTTACCAGTCAAAATGTGCCAGTGATTTTGGTTGGTACCCATGCTGATGGGATGTCAGAAGAGGTATAAGAAAAGAGGTTCCCTTACAATTAGTTTAAAAGGTTCAATAAAAATATAATTGACTCTAATCGTATGATAAGCAAAATGGCAAGCTTTTCCATCGTAAACTTTCCTTATTTATGTAGTAAAATTCAGCTATCACCTGCATATAGTGTTTATTCGATACTCAATTGCTAGAGCATGCTCTGAGTAGGATCAGTGTTTAATCCGAGGCAGGCTACAAAGAGATAAGATGGTGTTACAGGAATTTCAATAACCTTGTTTGAATTCAACATTTCGTAAATTCTATGGTCGTTTTAATGACCTTTTTAAGAAATACAACTTATCATTGGGTTGTGTTTTGACTGACTTAGTTTTTATACTAACTGTAACCACGGAATTTTCCGTCTACCTGATCATAAATAGAGCTCACGGCAGGTGTGACCTGTCAATAAGGGATGCTTACTCCTCCTAAGCACCTGATCTCAACTCTGGAGTTTCCAGGGTTCCATGTTTTACGCCCTGTTCACAAATTTGTATTGTTTTTACATTTGTTTATATCGATCATCTCGATATCTTCGGCTTCTTCTCTCTTATCATTTTAAAGGGAGATAGCATTAAGTAAGCTCTGAATAAACTCTATCAAATAAGTTGATGTAACTCCATGAGCTTTCGACAATTCTCGTTTAAAAGTCATTTTTTATAAAATTCTTTGATCGTTATAATTTTCTTGTTTGCAAATACATGTATAAACTATATCTTATTGCCTGACGCCACGTGCGTCAGGCAGTATAAGGATCAAAATTTCAATCGTCCTAAACTAAGCGATCATACTTAGTGAGCTAGATTTTGTGTAAGCTGATTTACATCGCAATTTGTTACCTGCATTTAAACAAATACAATTTGCAGATGAAAGAATCATATTACTGATGCAAGATAATGAATGTGTTTACTTCCTTCAGGTTTTTGCATGCACCTGTTTATTCTTTGCGATTCTTTATGCAGACATGTTCGTGTAATATTTTTTCTGCGTTTCTAAACTACTGGATCAGTCCATTTGTCTTCTACGAAAGCCGGTTGGTGCCAGGTAGGAAAAATATTTTATCTGGCAGTCGCCAGATAAGTTTCTGGCGGCCTCCAAATAATTATCTGGCGGCCACCAGATAAATATTTGGTGGCTGCCAGAAGGTTAACTGGCAGCCGCCAGAAATTATCTGGCGGCCGCCAGATCTTTTTATCTGGCGGCTGCCAGCTATTCATCTTGCGGCCGCCAGAAAAAATATATTTTCTACCCGGCACCTACCGGCTTCCGTAGTCTTCTACGAACATCACAAGTGAATTATCTTCGCGCCTTTTTCTTGGATTGTTCTGTTGAATGGGAGTGATAATTCTATGGAAAGGAATAAAGTTTGTTCTTAAAGCTTCAGATTTTTCATAAACTGCAAATTTTATTTCATTCAAAACACATTGTATATGGACAGGCAACACAAAAGCAATGGATTTGCTGAAAATTCTTACTATTTTGTTTCCTGTTACCCATTAAGTGGACTAGTCCAATCATAAACATACTCCCTCCACCTAGTAAATGGGACATCCCTTCTTGATTCAGTCTGTTTTTCACCTTCAATATTACAATATAATGTACGTTTCAAGATTAGCTTTTTTAAAAAAGCTTAGAAAGTCAGTCACTAGCATATTATTCAATGCTTTGTGATTAACAAGGCTTTTCTTTTAGTACAGTGACAAGAGTGTGAGCCAGTTCCCCAGAGGAAATGGGCTTCACTCCCGTAAATAAGGTTCTAAGTAAAGAATTGGCAAAATGATTTCAGAAGACATCATGATCTGTACTGGTTTTCATTTTATTAAAATCACGTTACTATAGAAGAAATGAGGAAAATCCTGATAGCGATTGAAAAGAAAAACTGTAAACGATTTTAATACTGTACATAAAGATATATTTTAAACTCATTCATGATATATGGTAAGACCATCATCTGTCCGGGGGAGGGGGGATTATTAGTATCTTGTTTTGCTCTAGCTATAAAGAATACAGGCCATTTACTTTGCGTCCCAGAGCAGCATTGACGCATTTTTGTCTCAAACACTTCAAGACAATTTTCCTAGTTAAATCTGTTCACAATTTACTTCGTCATCGAGAGCGACGGAGAACAGACCAGTCTGTAAATAGAGGCCGTCTCATCAATCTGTCACTGACCAGAAATTGTGCATGAAGAAGCGCACCCTCTGATAAGTTCTTTAGAACTATATTTCCCAGAATTCCAATCTACGCAAGTGCTCTTGCAGTTTTATCCCAACGTCAGCCCGTTGGCTAACTAATAAATGACCAAACAGTGACATGTAATACGTATTCGTTAATCTGTAGTATTTGGTTATGGCAATTCAGAAAGTCTATTGTACATCTTGTGTAATGAAGTGTCGCAACTATGTCGCTCGTTGATGACGAGAACGTTGAGCACTTCTCTTGCTTATACGTTCCATAGATGTTGATTTAATTAGTCAGGCAAGCTTTTTCAAAAGTTATTACTTGTAGTCTTTTTTAAATCAACAATTTAATTTTAAATAAACTATTTTTTAATACTAAGTTTTGCGACAGATAGCTCCATTATTCTGATCAATACGGTGGGTATGATTTAGTCCTGTTAAACCCCATCTATCATAAAACTGGTGTTTCCAATGACCCGTGGTTTTTGTCCTCTTAACAATGTGATTTGTAATTTTTTTTTTTTATAAAAAAGAGCACTGCTCATTATCTTCTCCTTCACCTTTTAATTGTTAAGGAGAAGGACAATGAGCTTTAAAAAGCTAATCACTCAATTTTTTTTATGATTTGTACATTACTTGTTTAGTATGTCCAACACTTCTTATATCACTTCTTAACTCTTTCACTAGATAATACACCTATGTTTTTGTTCACATTCTCTTAATTTTAAATAACTGGTCGCTGATATAATAAACTACTTTTCAATAATCATTGCATGATTATTTATATTTTTAACTGATGTGTGCTGATGTGTGCTGTATTTTATTTCTAAATATGTAATAAACATTTATAATAAAAACATACGCTTTTCCACACCATATCCTGTATCAGCCCTTGACCAATATGTATATATGTAGAAAATATTTGATTTGAATGTCATTTTCGTGTATACGCAAGCGCAGAAATATACACGGAGAAACTCGTGCTAAAGTGACGTCACAATAAGCTACAGAGATGTTAATAAAAATGTAACAGTATAGGGCATCTTATGCCAATATTTTCATGGGCAGACTTGAACGTAACTTTCTACTTCAAGCACCATTTAGGACCCTTATAATTAGCTGGTGGCGTTTCATTGACGATATAGAGATGAAGTGGGTGGAATGCCGCAAGAGCCTCGAAGCATTCATTTCGTTTGCCAACACCTTCCATCAATCTATCAAATTTACTGTAGACGTATCTAATTCCAAAAACATATTCTTAGATACTACATCTACCCTGATTGATGGCAAAATCGAGTTTAGTCTCCACGCGAAACCCACCGATTCCCACCTATATCTCATGCCGACTAGCTGTCATCCCCCACACACATTCAAGGGTGTGCCTAAGGGTATGGCTACCAGAATTCGTCG